TCCAGCAACCTTTCTTAAGAGACAGCAAGTACAAGGGGACTTCAAAAACTTCATGGAAAAATGGAATTAAAAGATAAAGATAAAAAATATAAACTTTATTTCTCAACATAAGCTACATCTAGTTCAAGACACTTTTGTAAGCAATGATACCAGCCATTTAGTCCATCCCTAAAGAACTAGGGTCCTGGGAATTTAACTATGTCAATGAAGTCTCTTTTACATTATTAACTAAAGAAAAATGGGTGCCCTTTACAGATATTTTTAAGAAACAAAAAAACATCAGAAGGAACAAAATCAGGACTGTAAAGTGGGTACCTCATGATTTCCCATTGAAACTCGCAAAATTGCCCTTGTTAGACGAGAGGAATGAGCAGAAGCATTGACATGGTGGAGAAGGACTCTCTGGTAAAGCTTTCCCAGGAGTTTTTTGCTAAAGCTTTGGCTAACTTTCTAAAACGCTCTCATAATAAACAAATGTTATCATTCTTTGGCCGTCCAAAATGTCAACAAGAAGAATACCTTGAGCACCCCCCAAAATTGTTGCTATGACCTTTACTCTTGACCAGTCTGCTTTGCTTTGACTGGACCACTTCCATCTCTTGATAGCCATTGCTTTGATGTGCTCTATCTTTAGGATCATAGTAATAAAGCCTTTTCAAACCTGTTACAGTTCTTCAAAGAAATGCTTCAGCAACTTCATCTCACTTGTTTAAAATTGCCCTGCTCTTGTATGCAGCTGATCTGGATGCAATGGCTTTGACACCCATTGAGCAGAAAGTTTACTCAATTTTAATTTTGAGTCAGAATTATGTAAACTGAACCAGTTGACATGTCTGTGATGTTGGCTGTTTCTGCTGTTAATCATAAGTCCTCTTCAATTAGGGCATGAACAAGATTAATTTTTTCCTCAAAAATTGATACAGATAGTCTGCCACTGCAGTTTTTATCTTACCGTCTTATTCCTTAAAATGAGTTATCCATTTATAAATGGCTGGTTTCTTTGGGACATTGTCCCCATAAACTTTTGAAAAACATCAGTGATTTCACCATTCTCCCACCCTAGCTTCACCATAAATTTGATGTTCTTGCTTCAATTTTAGCAGAATTCATGTTGCTCTGATAGGGCTCTTTTCAAACTGAGTCTTATCTATCTTGGTGCCTCAAACTAGATTCTGTTCAGACTTGTTATAACAAGTACATTTATTTTGGTACAAAAAAATTGTGAAATCTGTGCATAGTTTTTTCATAATAC